AGATCGTAAAAAAAAAAAAAAAAAAAAAAAAAAAGAACTATGATAGACCACCAGTGTGAACCAACGACCCAATAAATTCTCCCTCCGGTTTGAACCTTGCCCTTTCAGCTCGCCTCGTGTTATCGGCCGTCTTCGGTTTCTCTGAGCCCAGATTGCTGAACGAAGGCCGCGACCGAACAAAATCTGTTTACACAGTCAAAGCCCATCATCATCCCTGTAGATGCTGGCCCATCGCTATGAGAAACAGTCAGTGCAGGACAGAAAAGAATCGAAGGGCCGGGCTGACCGTATCCCAGTCTCCACGCCCATCAACGAACCGCAAGTCCGTTCCGAGGCGAATGATACCATTCGTGTCGTGGTTCAAGGTCGAGGCATGAATCTTGACGGGGCAATCAGCGAGCATCCTGCAATCTCGCAAGAGCCTTCATACCATGTAGGAATCATGGAAGACCACATCCCCCGCCTCATATGCCGAAACAAGCCACCTGCGTTGGTGCTCCTCACCAAAATGCCTCGGATCCTGACTGAGCATGCCATTGGACATCATATTCTGGTTGAACGCGGTCTTGGCCTCCTCTTCTGAGAGGCCTGCCGCTTGGGCCTTGCTAGTGAACTGGCCTTCGGTGGCCCTACCTAGGACGTGGCCTGGTCGTGTTAGCTCGAAGCGATCGATAGCCAGCTCCAGCAACTACAGACCGTTTTCAAGGTAGATCAATCCGCCCCCGTTGAGGGCGATATCCCCGACCGGAACCCACGCTGTCAAGACCGAGTCTTCCCCATGCCGCAAGAAGATATAGTCGTAGTGTACCCCAGTCGCTGGATTTCCAGGGAGATTATTCCGCAGGATAGTCCGTTCCAAAGCCCATGTGCTCTTGCCCCAGCCGGTGAAGTCCTCGACGAAGGCGATGAGAGCCGGATGTTTGCAGAGATCATTGCGATACCAGTCTTCAGCATGGGCACGAAGGGCCAGCATCATGAAGGTATCGGACGTGGTGGTTCCGGTGCCGCGGCGACCGGTTCCAAAGCCGGGGTAGTCGGTGGCGTCCTGGGAGCGATCGAAGATCCCCTCGATTGGGGAGGTCCGGGGATCCAGAATCCCGGTCGGCGCAAGCATCTCGAAGTATTTCCTCCTTGCCTCAAGGACATCGGCGCGAGGCAGAAGCCCTTTAAGGTAGAGATACCCGTCTCGTTCCAATCGGTGCCGCATCTCAGCCATGGGAGTGGTACGCGGACAGGTTGCTTCGAGCAGACCCGTGCGTTGAGGGTCTAGTTGGCCATCGTTGACGTATAGGTCGGGAAAGTCGGTCTCGGGATGGGGCATGATTAGGATTCAGATTGTATTAGTTGCCAGAGTGAGAGGTGAATTGAGAAAGAAAGTTGATGTTGCTGGGCCATCCATAATATACCTAGTGATGCATTGTATAGGGCAACCCGGGGGAAAATTACCCAGAATGGCATTTCATCCCGATTACTAACTCATGTTACAATACATAAGCTGCGCCCGGACCGAAACTTCCCTTTGAGGTATAAACCGTCCGACTCCATGCATCATTCAAGATTGCCTTCGAGACCCCAGAAAGCTCGGAGGCGATGGCTCACTTTCAAGCATGGCCACCCCACATGCAGCTCGGCCTCAGCAACCAGATGCATCAGCTCTCGAGTCTCTTCGGGATCGTCGAACAGCTCACCACCCAATGCGATTGCCAGACCCGCGGTCAGCTTGGCGGGCATATATTCCGGATTCGACATGGCTATCCCACATATGACGCGAACCGCATTACGCATCTCCTCCTCTTGCTTCTGCAGATACTGAGCGCGCCCCATGCCTAAGCTGGGCAGGCGGGGGTCATGCGCCAGTAATAAGATGCGAGACAATTGGAGATATTGCTGGCCTGCAATCGGGCAGTCGTAGGTGTAGTAGATCACCGGGAGTAAACTGTCCCTGTTCGCGCTGGCAGATGGTGCATCTCCCGGGTTCTCCGGGCGAAGGCGAAAGGTCCACAATTGGGTTCGATGTGAATAGTGTATCGGCTGAAATGAGTCGGGCTTGCGCTGTTCCCAGTCCAGTACATACTGCCACAGTCGATCCCACTCCAACTTGTCTTTGGGTCCGTCACCGTAGGCAAAGGTGGTGACGCGTGCTGCATGTGCAATCATGCGATATGTCCACGTAGCATCGTCAGCGGGCGCCAGGGACCAATTCGCATTGCAGGAGGCAAGGCTGGGTTCAACGGCTCGTTTCACCATGTTGCCAATAACGATTTCTTGCCGCAAAGCCACAATCATGGCTGCATCACTGAACCCCGATGGTCGGACGTTACCACCTTTGATCTGAAGCAAAATCGGGGTGGAAACCGCATGCGATGTGAAGACCTGTGCTTCGGTTGGCTCTTATGCTAAAGTCAGCAGTTGGGCCGGTACTTGGGATAAGACCCAACACCTACCGGACATTTCTTCGAGTAGTCTTAAGAGCATGGCGGAGGCCAGCACGCTATCGTCCAAAGCCTTGGACGTATCGTTGAGACTCGGGATCAGGACTTCAAGACATCGCCCCTCATATTCATGCGAATTGCAGGAGCTGATACCCATCGTCAACTCCCGATGTCGGGCAGATATTGCCAAAACGGCAAATAGGATGGACGGGTCTTTGGTAACGGTGGCCCCCACAACGGTTTGGAAGTGCCTGTCAGGAATGCAATAGTCGAACTACGCTCGGTCAATATCATTATTGTAATCCACTTAAGTGCGATCGGGCACTTGGCTTACCCACGACACTAAATTGGTGAAGAAATACTTCACCAGCCGGGCCTCTTCCCTGGAAAGTGGCCAGAACTGCGGCGAGGCGGTCGACGCAGGTGCTGAGACCGACGGGCCAGGGTCATGGTCGGACGGAACTGCTGATCCTTGATTCTGCGATGCAAGCGGTCGCTTTAAAGAACGCTTTTGAGGACACCGAGTCGGTGGGATTGCGGAGCTTCTGTTGCCAGGGTCGTCCTCACCGGCGTCCACCAGTTCCGATCGAGTGGCTTGTTGAACCACTTTAGGTCTCGCGCTGGTCCGCCCAGGAGCAGACTTGCGGCGTTTGCGCTTGGACGATGGTATATCCACCAATTTGATGCGGAGGTCTGGCTGACGACTTTGGCTGCAAAGCAGACCCGCTCGCTCGCAAGGGGAGCAAGTGTTGCGATTGACAGCGAGATCGCCTAATTCACAACTGAGTACAAAGACCTCTAAGGTCAAGAGTGATTCCATTCAGACTCACATTTCTGGTGTTTATTGCGGCATCGCTCACTGGCAGTACGGTGGAATATCTGGCCTTAGCTCACATTGTGTGCAGACACTCCAGAGGCATAGATAGCCATACCATGCAGGAAGCGAGCGTCCACCGCGAGGAGAACTTCTGCAGAGTGCTCGGCTGTGAGTCGTGTTGCTGTTTATGTTGAAGCTGTCGCTGGTCGATAGCATAGCGAAGCAGGCTGATTTGGAGAGATGAGAGTACTGTAGTTAACTAACTTATCTGTTGTACAGCACATGGCCAGAACCGAGCGGGCATTGAAGCATTCCAGTTGGGGCGGAAAAGACGGGCAGAACCGAGCGGAGAGAAAGGCGGTGGCCAGTTCCTCCGGGCGTATGGTTTACCCGCCCCGAGGTCTTTTTTTGGGCCGGTTCAGCAGTAAACTCTTTGAAATGATAATGCTGCAGACAGACCTTCGACCTGATCCTGACAAAAGTACTGACCCTTTTTTTAAACTAGCTTATAACTAGCTAGCTATCCACTCACTCTGGGAGTGATAAGTCTCCGAAGAATGCCCGAAGTTTGGCAATCATCGGCCGGATTGAGTATCTCAAACGAACCGTGCCGCAGCGGAAGGGCGGAACCGTTGATTCAATGAATCAATAAATCAATTTAGGTTCGACCGGTACAGTCCAGGATGAGACATCGGGTGGATCGACGCCTTGGTTTACGTCTGCATGGCCCTGATCTCGGAGTATGGGTGTACCGTACATGCACAAAGAATTATATGCTCGAGCATGTGCATGGGGGCTTGAGGCATGAACAATGAGCGGCTGTCTACTCAAAATAGACCCATGATGATCCTATGGGGCCGCTGTCGATGGCGAGGCAGCAATGGACAGATGATGACCAAGCTCCATGTTTGAGGGCCACGAAGATGTTATAGATGGGGTTGGAGCATTGATCATACTACACCCTACGCCTAGCTGATAGCAACTTCCGGTATAAGGTCACCAAGCCGTTTTGTTTTGAGCTGTAGAGCCAGCCGTTGAGCCAGCCGTTTTTGCCCGACGGCAAGATCCTCGTTATTGATCCATGCGATCACACGGTGCTTATTTTTACCTCGACATCCCTGCTGTTGATATCATCGATATCTTCACCTTAAGCTAGTAAATCCTTCAGGCCCGAACAGGGAGCAAGTAGTCAACGCACGAGCATGGCCGAAGTTGTTCCACGCCAAGTGTGGAAGATAGATTAACTCGAGATTAAACCAACTGCAACGTGCCGTAGCGTGTGCAGATCAGGCGCAAACCCAGGCGCAAACCCAGGGCTTAGCTGTCGCGTACTGAGGTCAGACTCTTTTCTAGTTCCAGCCTGCTACCATGCGCGGAAGGTGTCGGGCATCAGCTAAAAATCTTAGTCCAGGGGCTGGACAAGGTCAACCCTGGCCATTGAGCTCCTGGTGACTGGATTTGTATTTTCAATTCTTCCTCACTTTCTTTGAAGACCCAAAGAATGCTCATCGAGCTATCGAACGCAAATGGTGGTAACCAGCCATGGCCCTCAATGAGATTGGAGTGATCGCACCGCCTGCCGGGGTCACGCCCGACTTTGCGCACCCTACACGACATCTGCACACGGCAAATCGCGTGGTCGTCATTGTAGGAACGACTGCTAGTGCCATCTCTCTGCTGGTGCGCATCTACAGCCGGCTGGTGGTGGTGAGGAAATGGATGCTGGATGACAGTAAGTGGCATGGATGCGTCGGGTAATCACATCTAACCAACGGATCATTAGCTGTTCTCGTGCTTTCATGGGTGAGTGTCGGTGACTAGACGACTGGCATCGTCGACTGATTTGGAATGTTCATGGTGCAGATGTTCGCAGCCATCACACAATCCGTCTTACTCTGTGAGGTGTTCCGCAGTGTCTGCCCGCTTCCCGGAGATGGATCGCTAACAACACACCGGGGTTTTCAGACGGATACACTCACGCTGGGCTTGGGATCCATCAATGGGAGCTCACAGTAGAAGACTACAACAAGTCACTGAAGGTACGGAGTTCCAGTCGTGCCTGGTTCGTCTAGCACCCTTCATTGATGGCCAAGCAGGTTCTCATGGCTGGCGCAGTCATGTACATCCCAGCCCTCGGACTCTCCAAGATCGGCCTCATCATTCTCTATTATCGCCTGTCCGATATGCAGCGCAGCTGGCGAATCATCCTATGGAGTTTCACGATCTTTGTCATATCCTACATGGTCATTCTCGAATGCTTGTTCCTCTTCGGCTGCAACCCGATCCAGAAGGCCTGGGACGTAGCCATTGAGGGGCAGTGCATCAGCCGGGCCTCGATTTTCTTGGCCGGCACGTGCGCCAGTATCTTCATCGACATTGTCTTGGTGATCACGCCTCTCCCGGTGGTGGTGGGGCTCAACATGGCGCCCAAGAAGCGCGTGGGGGTGGCCTGCATGTTTGGGCTTGGCGGACTGTATGCTTCGTCCTTCCTCGTCTTCGTCGGTCGCACTGCAGCTACTGACGAATGCATGATCGTGGGTAGGTCCCTGGTAACCAGTTGTATGCGGTTGGTGTCGGTCGTCCCAATGCTGCATACCAACGACGAATCCTATCGGCTCGGGGCTATGGTGTTGTGGATGTAGGTGATGATGAATTCGCGTGGTGATGGCAGGGTGCTGACCGTCCTACAGCAACGTTGAAGCCAGTCTGATTATTGTCACGGCTTGCGTACCATCCTTCCGCCAGGTGTTCTTCTCTGGCTCGTGGAGCAGCAGTGACAGTCGGGAGAGGGCTTTGAGTAGTTATAGCCTGCGGAGCGGGCAGCGACGACATCGCGGTTTCACCAATATTACACTGGACCTTGACCCCGATCGACCGGATTCTGTCGAGCGGGTCGTGCCTGGTAAAGCTCCTCAGGAAGCTTAGGATCATCTTCGCCCATTTGAGACGGGCTTCGAGCCAGGAGTTCATGGGGGCAAAAGAGTTTGAATTTTGGCATTTGGATTTAGATTGAGCCAACTATAGAGACGGCGTGGTCAGCGCACACATATTCTTCGGATTGACTTGATGGTAGCATAGATGTATCCATAAAGTGCATTGATTCCCCCCCCTCTACAGCTTGACAAACTGACTCTTCTCCGCCATCTTCCCTGCGAGCCCGGTCACCGAAACCGCTTGCATGACATCGAAGATGGAGCAATCCGCCTGCACCGTCGCAACCGACCAATTGCGCAATTCCACCGCCACTAAGGAATCGACGCCGAATTGCGCGAGAGGCAAGGAGGGATCAATCCCCTCTCGGGTGCGACTGAACATTTCGGCCAATTTCGTGACCAAGGCGTTTTCAATGACTAAGATTGCTTCAGTCAAAGTGATAGCGGCAGCCAAATGGTCTCTCAGATCGGCTTCCGGTGAGGAACGAGATGCAGGACCAGAAGAAAAGGGGGTTTGCTGCTCAAGAATGGCGAACCTGGCATCGCGGTTCCAGCCCGCAGTAGCCTCCGACCGGACCAAACCCCTTGGTAGCCCGGTGACGATGTGACAAGTCTCTGGGGTTCGGACGGGATGGCGGATGGCGGACGCGACCAAGGCCCACACCTCCTGCTCGGACACAGCGCGTAGTCCGAGCTTCTCGAGGTGATGCGTGAGGGGTTTCGATTCTGCGACGACGCCGACGGATGAGACCATTCCCAAGTCTATGGAGACGGCGGGGAGACCCTGACTTGCGCGGTAGCGGGCCAATGCATCCTGATAACTTCCCCCAGCAGCGTAGTTGGCCTGGCCTGCGTTGCCACCGAACCCACTGATGGAGGAGAGAAGAATAAAGAAGCGAAGGTCGGGGGGGAGAAGAGTATGCAAATTCCACGATCCTTGGACTTTGGGCTTGATGGCAGCGAGGTAGTCTTCACGGGTCATGGTCTCAAAGATTCCATCCTAGAGTTGACAAGTAAGATTAGTGCTGATTTCTGTGATCTGTTGATGTTGACGGATCGATCTACGATACGTACCTTCAGCACCATGGCGGCTTGAATGACGCCGCGGATGGGCGGTAGGTGGCAGGCATGTTGCTGTAGAACCGACTGCAGCAGAGTCGCATTAGTGACGTCGCAACTGACTAGCACAATTGTAGCCCCAGTGGTCTGTCGTAGATGTGCAAGCCATGGAGGAGTTCCAGTGGTGGTGGTGGTGGTGGTAGTAGAAGTAGAAGCAGAAGCAGAAGCAGCCGATCGGGAGAGGAGGAGGAGATGGCGGACACCGCCTTCTACCACCAGCCGCTGGGCGAGATACTGCCCGATTCCCCCCACACCGCCGACGATTAGATAGGTCTCCTCACGTGACAGCATCACCACCGGTCGCACCGCCCGCTGCACCTTCACCTTCTTTTCCTCCTCCTCCTCCTCCTCCTTCTTCACCTCCATCACAATCTTTCCCACGTGTTGCCCGGTCTGCATCGTGCGAAATGCCTTCTCAATGTCTCCCATGCCAAACGGCGTGATCGGCCTGACCGGTCGAATCTCCCGTTTCTCCATCAATCCATTGATCGCTCCCAAGATCCGTTGCACCTCCTTCCCTCTCCGTTCCCCGAGCGTGATCAGATCCAGCGACGCGAACATCGTACTCCGCCCAAACGGTCCCATCTCCACCATGCTGTTCTATTCGATATCCCGCTTACCGATCTCGATGAATCGTCCAAACATCCCCACGCACTGCCACGTTTCGCGCAACAAAGTGCCCGCAAGCGAATTGAGCACCACGTCCACCCCCTTCCCCTTGGTCGCCGACATGAGATGATTCGCAAAGGAACGGTTGCGGCTGCTGAATATGTGCGACGGGCGGATCCCTTATTCCTCTACCAGGAAGTCGCGTTTGTGCTCCGACCCGACCGTAACGAAGATCTCTGCCCCGATCCACCGCGCGACCATAATGGCGGCTTGGCCGACACCCCCCGTGCCGGAGTGGATGAGCACTCGTTCATCGCGCTGGAGACGTGCCAGATCCACCAGGGCATGATAGGCGGTGATAAATGCAAGGGGGATGGAGGCTGCCGTGAGGAAGTCCATTTCCGCGGGCATCTGGGCTACGTTGGTGAAGGGGATACGCACCCTGGTTGCGAAGTAGCCGAGAATGAAGGCATATACCCGCTGTCCAGCAGTGAAGCCAGCGGCGCGTGCGACCGGTCCGGCGTGGGTGATCACTCCGCTACATTCAAAGCCCATCCGCGTTTCGTCGAGCTGACCCAGCGCAACCATGATGTCCCGGAAATTGAGTCCGAAAGCGCATGGCTCGATCTCCACACAGTCGTCGGCAAGAGCCTCGTCGGTAGTGGGATCTTCCGTAAACACAAGGCTGTTGAGCAGACCCGGGGTGGCAACTTCCAGCCGAATGTTCTGGCCAGGGGTCGACCAAGGCCGCATCTCGGGGGCCTGAGGCCGCGTGGTGCCCACCAGCTGGGCCTCCTGTTGGTCTTCGTATACCCGTGAGATATGGATCACGGAATCCCGCACAGCGTATTCGGTTTCTGGCAGAGGAGCCGAGGATGCTGCCAATGTGTTGTGGACAATGTGTGCGATATCAGTCGCAGTCGAGAGAGACCACACGGGGGCATTGGGGTCCAAGTCCACCGAGACGTATCGGTGAAGAGGATTCTCACAGCGCAGTGTGCGGAGGAGACCTTGATGCAAACTGTTCAGAGGTTCTTCAGCATTGCATTGTGCACCGCATGATACCCACACTGTAGCCCAACAGCTGCGGAGCACGCGTCGAAGGGCGTCAAATTGCTCAGCAGAAGGGTCAACGAGTATTGGCTGAAAAAGCTCGTCTAAGATGATACAAGTTTTGCCATCGGCAACAACCTCTTCAAGCGAGGAGACAACGGAGACGCCAAACACAAATTCAGCAGCTAGCCCGTGCTGAAGTGCTTGCTGCCAGTCTTCCGGCGGGTTGGTTTTAGAAATGAGCAGAACTTCTGCTTGAGTGGCAGATGTCACGTCTGTCTTGGCCGTCGCAACGACTACTTCTCCTTGGTACCCGTCTGCGATGAGATCTGGCTGGAGGTGGGAGCTGACCGACTCGAAACCGGCCTGCACACAGAGCTCCTTCCACAGGCCACTGGCATGAAAACTGCCCTGCCATCCTGGAAAAAGTCGGAAAATAGTCTGCAACGCACCATCGCCCAGGCTGGGGCCCCAGAGGATGCATCTCCCACCAGGGGCAAGAAGAGCATGCAGTGAGCTGAGGGTCTGAACCATTTCCTTCACCGTCAACAAAGCTGATGCGGATAGAATAAGCAAATCGTAGCTTCTCCGGGCATATCCCTGGGCATCAGGCTCCGCGTTCAAGTCTAAAACCTTGCACTCGATGTCTGCCTCATCCTTGAGGACCGTATCCGCGTTCTTGACCAGTCCTGCACTAGGGGCAGTGACCTCGTAGCGAGAGAACAGTCGCGTATTGTCCTTGGTCAAGGTCTTGATAAATCTCCGTGTATTGGCACCATTGCCTGTTCCAATCTCGAGGATCATAGCCCGAGGACATTTGTGGCCATCAAGCTCGAACAGCCGAGTTAACACCGATTCGAGCCTCTCTGAAACAGAATACCACTCAGCCTGGTTCTCGGCCATGAAATCCAGCAGGATGTCTTTCGCCTGGGCTATTCCAGACAGGACGTCAGGAAGCTTCTCTCCGAATCGACACAGTAATCTTCCCTCGACACACTGTTTCAGCTCTTGTGTCAGCGCTGCCATTCCATGCGCGGTAACCCCCAGGATGTCGAGAATCGGACGAGCCCTTTCTGCAACGTCTGTCATCCATTTCCAGTAACTGGAATGCTCAGATGCAACAAGATCTTTACCTTGAAATTGATGCAAAGCATCCACAATGAACATGACAGCCGCGTTTTGTAGCTGAGAAAGATGGGGATGGGTCCCGCTTGGTGCATCTGGCTCAATGAAGTGCTCAGGTCGGACGAAATCAATATCTGGCTTCCAGACCGAGGTTATAGCAGAGTCTGTCGTCGGGCATCCGCATCGTAGGTTTCGGACCTAAGGACTGGCGCCAGAGCCCCTGGACAGTGAGAACCGACTTTTCGGACTCCGCGCCTGTGTTGGTGACCCGAATTGAGGTTTCGAACCCGCGTCTGTTCACTCTTACCAAGGTCGAATTCGCGTGGAACCGGTGACCTGGGGACGCTGTCAAGTCCGCGGAAATGTAAAGATCCTGAATAGATTTCGGGATCATTGCGGCGCGTTCTTCGCTTCCCCCAACGGGAAGAGTCTGGTAGGCTGTATGGAAGACTGCGTCTAAAGTGGTAGGATGAATAATGTGGGGTTGCTGGTATTGCTGGGGCATTGTCGTCGCCGAATCGGCCACCTGAATCACTGACTGCGCGTATCTAGGAGCGGATTTTGCTGAGACCAGATTCCGGAAGACAGGGCCGAGGCACAGACCTACGGCGTCTAGCATCCTGTACATATCCGCGGGGTCAAGGGTACGCCACGTACTGGGAGGTACTGCTAATGGCGCAGCAGTAGGAGCAGGAGGGCCTATCCAACCGGCACTCTGAGCCAGAACTGAGGTACAACAGAGCCCCTCGCAATGCAACGTCGACGAGCCATTCATCTGTTTGACAGACTGGATCAAGAACTCATACCACCCCTGTCCTTGACGAACCTGATAGCTACATGCACGGAGGGACAGTTGTACCTCTACTCCCTCCGCCGAGTCTTCCAGGATTAGTGGCTTGTGTATTCGAATCTCCTGCAGCTCATAGCCATGGATGGGTTGGGCTGGTGATTGCAACTGTCGCAGTGCCTCAACCACCATGCTCATAAACCCCGCCCCGGGATAGACAATTTCTCCCTGCACGATGTGGTCGCGCACCCAAGGGATATCACGAGGGCGGACTATATGTCGCCACGTGGGCGTGGTCAGAGTCGATCCTGGTGCAGGAACCCCAAGAAGATCGTGAGGGATGACAGTTCGATGGCGGAGTTCTTCGTTACGAGGAGGTTCTGCCCAGTATGAGGTCTCGTGGTTCCACGGGTAGGGTGGAAGGTTGGTCAACACGGGCAGCGTGCTCCAGCCGCAGGGAAAGTTGACGGCTTTCAGGTCAACAGGATAGCCCGCTTGCAGAAGAGTGCAGACGAGCTGATGCATGGTCTGGACAGCGTTCTGGCCACGCGACAGACACGTAGCATAGGTGATCCTCCCACTACTCAGCTCAGGTAACGTCAACGTTTGCCGAATAGGACCAGCCAAAGCGCCATGCGGGCCGACCTCAACAAGCATGTCAATAGCGGTCCTGGTGGCGTCAGAATCATCGCGACACAAGTCACACAACGAGCTCAGAAACTCCACCGGCTGCACCATGTTACGCACCCAATGGTCGGGGTGAGCAATTTCTGCAGCCGACGTGATCCTTCCCCCCGTGGTTGGGGACGAGTAGATGATGCCGGTGTCAACTACGGGGTTCGGCTCGCGGAATCGCGACAGCTGGGCTCGGTACGCCTCAGCCAGCGGCAGCATGTGGTGCGAATGATAGGCTGCCTCGACATGAAGACGACGCACAAAGACACTACAGCTATGGAGTAGTGTCTTGATTTCCTCAATCGCACACTCGTCGCCCGAGATCGTCACGCTAGACGGACTGTTTACGCAGGCGATGATGACCTTGCCGGATCGAACCTCAGCCAGCGCCTTCTCAGCATCCTGACTTCCTAGGCCCACCGCGACCATGCCTTCTCGGCGATCAAGGAGTTGTTGGTACTGACTGTTCAGATCGCCTCGAATGTACACAATTGCCAATGCGCCTTTCAGGGTGATGGCTCCGGCGGCGTAGGCAGCACCAACCTCTCCACTGGAATGAGCGGTGACTCCTGCAGGATGAACGCCCCAAGAACGTAGCGAGTCGACTAGAGCAAGCTGAATAGCCACGCTCAGTGGCAGACTATACGCGACCTGGTTAAGACGACTTTCCTCGGCATTTCGCTGCAGTTCCTCAAGGGCAGACCACGTAGCACCCATTGACTTCAAGCAAGCCTCGACCTCGTGTATGGCATCACAGAAGACCGAAATTCGGAATCGGAGACCAGGCACTCTGCCCGTTGGCACAGAGATCCCAGACTCTTTCGGGACTGGACGCGCCACCGGAAAAGCGGCAGGCCAGTTGATCTTGGGCTTAACTTGCAATAAGTGCTGACCAGCGGAGGTTGATGCTACTGGAACATTTCTCTTATGAACTAATGGCACCTGTCGCAAATATCGTAGTCTTCCATGTTTAGTGTAGAAGGCAAGGTAGGCGTCCGGTCTGATGACGGGGTCTTGTGATGAGCAATTCACTCGAAAGGCCATCCTAAAGCTGCTGGGTCAGGGCTGGGCGCGCTTGACTGCCTGGCAATCAGTATTCGAATGAAAGGATATTTCTCAGCTTGTGCTGGACCTTGATGCATCGCATCAGGTGGCTCTGATCAAGTACGTTTGTAGCAGGGCGGGCCGATCCCCAAAGTTGCGAATGTCGAGCCCGAATCCATGTCACTTCGGTCTTCTGATTTCATCTCTGATTAGCCTTTTGCTGTACCTTGATCCATCAGCAGCCGCAGACGTGACGCAAGTATTTCCCTGTCGCAGAATAGCAAGGATGAGCCAAGCATCGATCCACTGCGTCCGGAGTATCTGAAGCCCCGGGCAAGAATACGCTGGTGTCCATATCTGCCTATGCTGCGGAGTCACGCGTCTGCGCCACGAGATCGATCCTGAAACGGAGTGCAGCCAGTGGGTAGGACGCTCTTCGAGCTGACATCTGCATGGTGTTGAGCTGCCAATGTTACAGGGCTGCCACTGCTGCCTATCCCATCCCCCTCCCTTCATATGCATGATCTACCACAAGTGGCATACTGGAAAGATATCACACTTGAATGGTGGCATTTTCCCGATCATCCCCCTGCAGAACGACGAAATAGTGCTGTATGGTCAAAAGCGAAACCATATTCTCCATGTCTAATCTATAGCACGTTAATAATTGCCTCTCACCACATTCAAACGCAAACAATCCCCGTGAACGCACGCCCACCCTCCTGATACAAAATCTCCTTCCGGTTTCCCTCCCGATCACAGCGATAGACACCACCCCCGAGGTCCGTCAGGAAGATATCCCCAGACTTCCGATCGAGACTCACCCCAATCGCCTCATGCAAACCCCGAGCCAGAATCTCCGGCTTGCCCACCGGTCGCCCTTTTGCATCTAAGCTGACCCGATAGAGTGCATTGCCCAGAGGCAGCTCCCCGCGATCTGTCCAGTACAGGTCGCCTTTCTCCTCATCGATCTCCAGATCAATCGGCTCCGGCAGTCCGCTCAGGATGCACAGCTCCTCATCATCGTCCTCGCCCACAATCCCCGGTGGTGCATGGATCGCAGCCGAGAAGATGCGCCCTTTGCCACTCTTTGGCGCGCCCTTCTGTGTCCAGTAGAACCGGTTGAAGCGAGTCGAGACGGCGATCCCGACGCACCAGTCCCGTACGTCAGTCACCCCTTTGCCTTGGTTCCCTCGCTGTCGTGAGACAAGAGTCTCCAGACCCGACCCGTCAAGGTTACAGCGGTAGACTGCGCAGCCCTCGCGGTCGGAGAAGTACAGCTTCCGCGCTGTCTGGTCGAGGGTCAGCTGCTTGGGGGTGTTGATCGTACCCGGTTCGAGGACGGTCTGGATGTCGCTCCCGTCTAAAGCTGAGGAGTAGACTGCACCATCCTGTCGGCCGGGGACCCCCATGTTGGTCCAAAAGATGCGGTTGGTCGTGGCATCGACTGCGATGCCGTCAGGAAGGAGCTGGTCGGCAACCAACACTTTGGAATCGGTCCCGTCTGCCGCGAGAGAGAGGATCTGTCCGACTGGGGTGGAGATCGAGGAGGCCGCGGTGGAAGAGGCGAGCCCGACATCTAAGACGAGGAGATGGCGATCGTGGGTGGTGGGGTCACTGCCACTGTTGCTGGCTGCGCTAGACAGGGGATATAGCCCGCCCAGGGCACATTTGGCGCCCAATCTACCTTTCTCGAGGTAGTTGGTGGTGAGGTAGTCCACGGTTCTCTCGGAGGAAAGCCCCCGCTCGTGGATATAGTGCTGTTCAATGAAGGCGACGGTGTCGAGGCCAACGTCTGTTCCACCAATCAAACTTAGTATGGCGAGATGGAGATGCAATGAAGGGCATCCAACTCACTATCCATCATCCTGCACGGCAGCGTCCTTCCCCGAATAAACATCTCCTCCCACATAGCATCGATCTCTTCGGGGACGGACACCCCCTCGGAGAGAATGGTCAGCACCTCTCGTTTGACCGCCGCCCAGAGGCGATTGAAGATAAACCCAGTCGATTGTTTGCGTGCGACATACGGCGAGGTCGCGCCTTCGCGGCACCGCTCCACCATAAAGGGGAAGATGGCCTCATGCGTGAAGCCGTCCGTCATCAACTCCACCGTCATGCACTGCGGCGGCATGTAGTAGTGCATGTTCAGAATCCGTGGCTTCACCGCGTCCGGGACCCGGTCCAGCATCTCCGAGGTCTTGTAGGAAGAAGAGTTGGATGCAAGGATGCTATCATTTGGGGCGAGGGCGGATAGATCGGCGAAGGTGGCAATCTTCAGAGGCAGCTTTTCGGGGACGGCCTCAACGATGAGCCAGGCGGATTCCACCGCTTCTTCGAGGTTGGTGAAGCCGTGTGCTTTGCCTGGGATGCAGCCCGTCTTGCTGGCGTAGGAAGAGACTTGATCGTGGATGTAGGCGATGCCGGAGGTGAGTTGCTCCGGGCTCGGATCGCGTAGGTGGACGTCGTAGCCCGCGGAGGCCCAGATGCAGCCTATTCATGGCATATGTTAGCGCATATATCAGGTAATGCGCCTCAATAACACTGACCAATTCGCCTTCCAAGGACGCCAGCACCCAGAACCGCGACGGGGCGGTTCCGGTAGTCGTGCGGTGGTGACCAGCTGGAATGCATTTTGTAGGTGCAGGACGATGTGTTACAAGTTCGGCAGTCAGCAGGAGGAGAGCTTTTTCGGTCCTTTGCATACAGACAGGGATCCGAGATTCCAAGAAGGAAATGCTATATATAAGATCTGCTCATATAGTGGGCTGGTCGCATACGAGGATTCGTTCCTGAGGTATATTCGGGATGCCGATATCCGGCCTGCCGCGGCATGCCGAGGTGTGGTGCTTCTGCTTGGATCCACTGCTTGCTTGATCCCGCGGGAGAGCGGCTGCTATGCCTCTACTATATTTAAACTCATACTATAGTATACTATTCTTTTAACTCCATAAAAGCACACGTATTGGTTGGGACAGACATGAACATACTCCCGCGGGATGTGGTCATGATCCCCCCACCATCCGTGCCCTCACTTCTTCCAGGATCACCCTCTCATCCTTCTCCTCTACTTCCCACTCTTTCTCAATGATCGTCTTCCTGTCTTCACTTCGCAGGCAGAACTTCGCCTTAACAGAACCCGGATCCGAGTCCCTTGACAAAGGCGAATCCTCATCCTCCTCCCCACCCTCATCTCTTAGAATGTCGAACCCCCACAGCAGCCTCGCCACCACAATGAACAACGAGGCTCGCGCCAGTCGGTAGCCCGGACACAACCTCCTCCCAAACCCAAACGCCGAAACCGGCAGCCCAGGGTCCTCGACATACCGCTGGGGCTGGAAGGCCTGCGGCTCCTCAAACACCTCCTCGTCCATATTGAACCCCCACTGATTCGCGATGACCGTCGCACCCTTCGGAATCCGATACCCCAGATACTCGTCCTCCTGGATGACCGCATGCGGCACTCCAATCGGGGAGATGGGCCGCCAGCGCAGGAGTTCGGAGATGACCGCATCGAGGTAGGGCAGGGCCGGGATGTCGGCAAAGGTGGGGAGCCGTGAGGCGCCGACCACAGCATCGAGCTCGTGCTGCGCCTGTTTGACGGTCGCCGGATGAAGCAGGCTGGCAAGGACGAAATTCTCCAACACCATCTTGGTGGTGTGGATGCCCGCCACGTACAGCTCGCCCAGCGAGTAGCAGATGTGCTCCCACGGGAGAGAGGCCACGAGGTCGGACTTGGTGGTGATCTCGTGGCTCCAATTCCAGCAGGGAGCGCTAAGAGCGCCGTCGGTGCACTCCTGGTAGACGGCTTTGGTCTGCTCGTGCAGGGCACTGGCTTTGGTGCGCCAGGTGAGGAAGCGACGGGCGGGGATGAGGCGGTCCAGGATGGGGAATAGGTCGAGCAGGTTGGTCCAGAAGGCGGCGGCCTGGAGAATGAAGACGGCCATCTCGTTGATCTGTTCCAGGCGCGTGTGGTCGGTGTCGGAGCGGCCCTGGCCCTTGCCGTAGACGAGGGTGAACATGACATTGGCGGTGTATTGGTAGAAGAGGTCCGAGAACTTGGGGGTGGTGCTGTTGCTGCTGTCCGCGGGTGGGAGGAATGAGTGCATCAGCTGCTTACTTTGGATATCCTGCAGACGCCGGTAAGCGTTGGTGCATTGGTAGTTGAGCAGCGACATGTGCAGCCGGCGATTGAGGCGCCATTCGTGTCCGTACGGCATGAAGGCAGCCGCCAGCCCTTGGTGGAGGTATTTGTCCAGCCACACGGACGGGGGCCGCGAGCTGTAAATGCTGGCGCGTTTCTCGAGCAATTCCTGTGCCACCTGGCGAGTGCCCAGGATGATGAAGGATCGTGTGCCGATCTTGAAATGTACCACCGGGCCGTAGGCCTGGCTCCATGCATGGAAGGTTGGAGCGAGATCTCGTTGCTGGATGAGGGCTGTCAGTCCGGCCACGAGACCCGGACCCGGTGGGAGTGGCAGTGCTCCTGATGGACCAGAGCGGATGAAGCCGCCATGATACAGGCCGAGAGACAGCACCAGCGTGAGAAGTGTGAGGAGTGTGAGAAGGGCTGGGGTCTCCATTGCTTCACTCCTTGCTTCGTCTCGTGGGCCCTGAGAAATGTCCAAGGGATCACCCGGGGAATGCGGAGCTTTACTAGGTAGCAGCTTTAGCTTTCGATTTCCCACAGAGACCAAGACCTACGTCACCTCCAAAGAGCGATGCTGCATTGAGTTGTAGGGGATGGCGTGTACCAATCATCTTGTTACTACAATGGAGGGTTGACCATTTGGGAGACTGGGCTTAAAAATAGTTCAAGTACTAGTGGACGTGGCATGCAGAATCGCCGTCGAAATGCGCTGGCAAAACTTCTTGGTGGCCGATCGACACGCACGATCTCTTCAATGGGTTTAACGTGAGAAATGCCCCGCTGCGGTAAGCCAGATCGTGCGATCGGGCTAAGCTGTACTCCGTAGTTGGGACTGTTTGACAAGCGAGAGAAACATACATGAGTCTGTCTACTATGGGGTTGTTGTTCTGGTCCTGCCAACTGGAGAAACAACAGTCCCATATTCAAACAGTGGGAAGCCAACCAGGCGGTGAAGACAGCAACAACACAGCAAATGATGAGGATGCAGACACGTAAGGTCTGCGAACATCTAGGTCCACAGTCAAAACGTGTAACTTATACGTGTATACGTTTATGCAGGCACTCCCGCGGGACAGAATCCATGGATTCCCTTGGAAGGTCGGCAAGCCGTCTATGTGTGTGCTATTGACAATCATGATGGTTTTCGTTGGTCGGAGGCCCACCTCTCTGAAACATGGATCCCATTTGTTCGGGGCCAAGCCTTCGCTCCCTGACGCAGGTCAGGCAGAGTCAGCAACACGGTCATATCATAGAAGTTGCCCCTTGCCTTGATTGATTGACCCGTTGCGTTGGCGAATGTTGATTAACTAGGTATACTGTTGATGCGGTACAACTTAGGGTACGCATACGTTCCCGTGACCTTCTTTTGTGACCGCCACCAAGAAGGCCTGCGAATGTACAGTACATTACTTGCTTCAGAATCTAAAATACTATTTGATTCAATGCTTCATACCTCTATGCAAACGATAACTCTATACGTAACTCTTTACATGTAAATGCGGCCTTCAGGCTCAGTTGCTGGTCCGGGGCGGCCACTTCACTCTTCGTTCCGCGCGCACGTACAGATTATTCGGTCGGATCAGTTGGAACATTGGATCATACTCCACGGGCACGAGATCATTTTCCCGGCTGAACTGATAGCGGTAGATCAGCTTTGGGAGGAAAATCTTCACCTCCTGAAGCGCAAAGTTGAAACCAATACACATGCGGGGGCCCATGGCAAAAGGTATGTAAGCCGCCTTGTGTCTCTCCTTCACCTGGGGGGTATCCCACCGGTCAGGATCAAACCGGCTGGGATTATCCCAGAGGTCGGGGTTGTTGTGAATATGGTGCAGACCCGGCACGATAACCGCATCCTTGGGGATCTTATAGCCCCCCGGCAGGATCAAATCGACTTTGGCGGTCCGGCCGGGCTGGAATGACGGATTGGTGAGGCGCATCGTCTCTTTGATGTATTTGTCTTGGAAGACCAACCGGTCCGTGATCTCGGCTGTGAGCTCGGTGTCTTCCGTGATACCGTTGTCGATCAGCTCCTGCAGCAGTCGTTCCTGCATCCCGGAATACGTTACGAGACCATATATCAACCACGACAGCAGGGAGCTCGTGGTCGTGAATCCGGCCCCGGTGGCCACGATCAGCGCCCAGATCAGACTCGATTTCGGCAGCTTTTCCCCCTTGTTGTCGGTGGCACGGATGGCATAGTCTGAAAGATTTATGCATTAGCCCGGTCACAATGCGGGGCAATCATGAAGGGCAACGAAGGAATACTCACCCACCATGTTAGAAGCTTGCAAAGCCGCCTCCTGTAAAGGCAGGTCGGTGACACCGCCGCGCTCTGCATCCTTGATGGATTGCTCTACCATTGCCTCCAGTTTCGCTTTCAGGTTTCTCAGCCGCTGGGGATCTCCGAAGGGCAGCTTGCCGTACCAGTCCCCACGAGAGGTGACCTTCTTGTTGAGGGACAGCATTTCCGCGATGGAATGAACCATCTCGTGCACGGGAGCATCGGGGGAGGTGAAATGCTCCATATCCAGCCCCAGCGTGAGTTTGCCCACCGCCTGGGATCCAAGCTTCAACATGTACTGGTACACATTGAAGGCGGAGCCTTGTTCGTCCAGCGCGTCAAACACTTTGAACGCGTCTTCCACGGTGCGCTGCATCGTCGGAGCATAATGCCGCACGGCCTTCGGACCAAGGGCTGGGGGCAAGAATTTATGGGCCACGCGCCATTCCGGGGTGTCGGTATCTCCCAGAAAGACCCCCGCAGAGGGGGTTTTCAGGGCATGAAGTGGATGAGCTTCGTTGATCTTCTTAGAGAAGAAGTCCGACTCGGCGAAGACGATGGCGGCGATTTGCGGATCATTGGTATGGTATGTGGTACGGCCCAGGCTGGTGGTCTTGAAGATCCGGCCATACTGGCTATAGAGCCGCTGGTGATTACCCAGATGGTCTGGATAAACCTCAAAGTAATTGCCCACGTAAGGGAGGCCTTTGGGACCGTCGGGGTCTCGTACTGCTTGGCCATTGATCGTAATGGCTACGGGTCCGGTAGCCGCGAGGACATCGCTGACATCGACGAGACACTCCATGTCGGTTTGGAAGCCGATCTCTGACTTGAGGTTAGTGACTAAAGTGATTAATGACAAACGGAGCATGGTCACTGTCAGACTGACCATTGGGTTCCACAATGGCAAAATAAGCAGCCACCGTGTGCTTCAGTTGATCCAGGTTCGCCGATGCCTCAATTGTGATGTGCTTGGCGGAGGTGGTCGCCTCGCCCAAGAGATAGAACTGCTGGTTCGACATGATGTGTGGCCACGATGATAGACTAGTTGCTCTGGGCTTGATTGGCCTTTTGGGGAATGACTTGCCCCTGTCTTTATAACTGGGTAGATGCCAGTATCAATTTTCCACTCTTAATGAAGTCTCATATACCTCGGTGGAGATGCATCCATCTCTCCCGCGGCTTTGTCTCTCCCGCGGCAGTGAAGGAGGGCCCCACGGCTTCATCCCGAGGTAGGACGGTCAGCTTTTCATTTCGCCCTCAACAATTGGTCATGATGCTCTTGGGGTGTGACATGGATGTGGGCCATGACAGACTCGGGAGAGTGTTAGTCTAGAAGCCCAAGGTATACGGCCGCTCTAGGACCCTATAAATATACAAGAGTCTCTGTGCACCGTTGGCCCGTCAATCAGCCCAGGGGACGTCAGTCCGAACTTTCAGGCCCCTAAGAAGTTTCTTTCTTTCGCTTCCTCTCGCACTCTCCTCTCGCGATGCAGAACTTACCACAATATACAACGGACGAGGTTGCTGGTCACAAATCCAAGGATGATTTGTGGATCGCTGTTCGTGGCAAAGGTACCACACCCCCTTCACTCGTGGACTGCTGGCTTCCATGACAAGTCAAATGCTGATGAGATTCCCTGATGTAGTGTACAATGTCACCGATTATGTTCGAGATCATCCTGGCGGGGCAGAAGTACTGATGGATGTCGCTGGACTGGACGCGACCGAAGCGTATGAGGACGTGGGCCATTCCGAGGTATGCACGCGAGTCATATTCACCACGTATGTACAGTACGTTTGAAGGTTGACATGACACCCACAGGATGCAGATGATATCCTCGAGACATATCTCATTGGAACATTGAAAGATGCACGCGAGCGGGTTCGACCCCAGACCGTCCGATTGATCCAGACCACGAACCCTGTGCCGCCCACAGCCCCGGGGAAGGCCGGTTCCATCACGCCTGTAGCCCTTACCATCTTCTCCGTCGGCGGGGCGGCCGTCACCCTGTTTTATGGCCGTCACTTGCAGGCCAAACTCCCTGCCAGTTGGTCGGCACTTCCCGAGCTTCGAAGTCTCTTGCCCTCGCTCCAATCCCCCCATGCGCTGTCCACCTCCGGGGGCTTCTATTCCGGGTTTGCCGTGGCAGCCGGACTGGCGACCCTCGTGGGCTCGATGGTCGCGTCCAATTTATCACAAATGACCCAAATCAAGTCGGGCTTCACCAAGTACCCGCCCTACATCAAATGTCGCAAGCGGGTTCGAAGGAATCCTCATCTGGTCAAGGGATTTCTTGATCCCAAGGGATACAAGAGTCTCCCCCTGATTCGCAAAGAAGAACTGGCCCCCAACGTCTATAAGTTCGTGCTGCAGCTCCCCAGCTCGCAGGATGTAATCGGACTGCCGATCGGTCAGCATGTTGCTATTAAGGCGAACGTCGACGGCAGGGCCGTCTCCAGATCCTATACTCCTACCTCGAACAACCTGGATCGCGGAGTCTTGGAGCTGGTGATCAAGTGCTATCCCGACGGGTTGCTGACGGGACGGTATCTCGCCAACCTGGACATTGGCCACGAGATTCAGCTCCGGGGCCCCAAGGGCGCGATGAAGTACACCCAGGGGATCTGTAAGCGCATCGGCATGATTGCCGGGGGCACTGGAATCACCCCCATGTACCAGCTGATCCGGGCGATCTGCGAGGACCCGACCGATCTTACGGAGGTCAGTCTCATCTATGCGAATCGCACGGAAGACGATATTCTGCTGCGGCGGGAATTGGACCAGTTCGCGCAAAGCTATCCTCGGAACCTCCAGATCTGGTACATGTTGGACACGCCACCGGAGACTTGGACATTTGGGAGGGGGTATGTCACGGCAGAGACCATGAAGGAGCGATTGCCTGCTCCGTCTCCTGATACAAAGGTCATGTTGTGCGGACCACCGGGGATGGTGAACGCCTCCAAGAAGGCTTTGGTGTCTCTGGGGTTCGAGGCTCCTGGAGCAGTGGCGAAGATGTCGGATCAGATCTTCTGTTTTTAGTACTGTGCGCGCAGCTCGTTTTCGGGGGTGACCACGAGGGAGATACTCTGGGAGTCTAGCGAAGGTACTGAAATATATGTAGTATGTACTGTGCTGGACATATTGGAAAAAACATGAGGGATCCAAGAGGGCAAATGCTAGAAGTGCTAGAAAATATTCTGTATCCATGATTAGTTGTCCACATTCCGATTACTATAGTAGTTCTCTTCCTACTCAGCTTGCTTGCCCTATAGACGTATTGGTATTTTGGCAAAATGCTAACTTATGCCATCAGGGTGTGCATAAAATCAGTTGAATAGCGGATACTGACTCACTATGCATCGTGAACAACGGTTTGCCCGGTTTGCCCGTTTGCGCGGTTTGCTTCGTTTACCTCATTTGCCTCATTTGCCTCCTCCCGCGGGATCTCCTCGTCTCCTTCTCTCCTTCCAACGTTCCCGAGGAACCTCCACTACCTTGAATCAACTTCCACCTTCCATCCTCCATCCCCTCTTGCTTCCACTAGAACTTCCTTATGTCAGCTCGTCGTTACCGATCTACGGTCGCCTGTCACTCATGCCGTCAGCGTAAGGTACGATGCAGCATCAATGTTACCGGGGTTCCCTGCATCCGCTGTGCCCAAGACCATGCCGAATGTGTGGTGGACCCTCCCCCGGCTGAGAGGTGAGACCGGCAGGAAGCGTCTTCTTAACATAGGAGAATTACTGACGGAGTGTGGGCAGTGCCAGGACCAGCCGGCGCAATGCATCGGCTCGACAACGGTTACGTGCCGTGAACAGTAGCCCGTCTTTCCGCGGTGCACAGCCCGAAGGGGATGCAGATCGCCCGACGATGCCTCGGACACCGGCCTTTCAAAGAGTCTCAGCAAATTCACCGCCTGCTTCGGCTTCGGAACGATACAGCATCCAGGACGAGGAACGCAACGGTCTCGAGATTGCAGAGGCCGCTTTGGGCAACCCGGAACGTGCCGGACAGGTTCCTTTTTACACCGGTATTACTCATTCCTTACAGCCCACCCGGGCACAACGCCGTGGCTTGAGTCTACCCAAGGCTAACGGCCTCATTTCGGATCAGGGGATAAGACTGGAATAACTTCAACCCTGACGCTCCTTGCTCCGGGAGAATCTCTACCCCGGCATTTCCTGATTCCGTCGCGCGCAGCGACCACACTGTCGGCGGAGGATCAGAATTACCTGGCAAGCAAAGGGGTCTTCAATTTACCGAGCAGTGAAGCATGCCATTGCCTGCTTCAGGCATACTTTCGTCATGTCCATACGATCATGCCGATCATCGAAGCGGATCAGATCCTGCACTTCTTTCACGCGGGACGATTGCATGAGTTCAATTTGCTGCTGGTGTGGAGTGTGTTTTTTGTTGCTGTGAATGTAGGTCATGACCAGTATACGATGACGCGTCTGCGGCATGCATGCTGCGGCTCGAGTGGAAATTGGAGAGCCGAAATCTCAGAAAATTGCTAAACGCCCTCGCAGTTTGTTCCGTCCTCTCTCTGCGAGAGAGAAGGGTACGACTCTCGAAAGGCGATGAAAGCAGCCATATATTCCCATGCAAAGGTAAGGTAGCGTGCCCTTTCCCCTTGTGTCTGTGCGGGCGAACAAGCTTCCTATAATACCACCAACGCATCCCATTCACGCTCCCATCGCTTACAAGTGCTTCGGACTTCAATATGTCCTTGCTGCCACGTTCTACTCTGTCGAAGCTCAGGCAAAGTTTGTTCAAATACTCGCGTGCTTGGGCAAGCGCTCCGAGAAAGAACTTTGGTACCTCTGCTTGTCGAAGAACTTTTTACAGGCGATATCCTAGTCGACGAAGCTGCACATGGTACTGAGTTAGGTACTAATTCGAGGAATAGTGTCTCTACAACAACAGTGGAGAGCGAGACAAGGTCGTTCTTCTGCAGTCCTCTTTGATGCTCGGCTTCTGGCACTCCGAAGTAGATGAACATGTCCAGCCTTGGTACTGGACTGGAATATCCGTGACTCTTTGTCAGATCCTCGGCCTCCATCGCAATCCCGACGCGGCACGTTATAATGCATCGATCACCGACCGTCAGCGACATCTCTGGCGTCGCCTCTGGTGGACATGCTTCTTCCGAGATCGTTGGCTGAGTTTGACGTTGGGACGGCCGTTACGTATTGACCTCGATGACTGCGATGTGGCCATGCCGTTAGTGGAAGATCTTCTGTATGACCTCAACGATGTTCCGGAGTTACTTCTATCCGCCTTCATACCGGATGAAGTCTCTCGCCTGGCTGAATATTGGATCCAGTTAATAGGAATGAGCAAATTGCTAGGCGCTGTCCTATCCATGAGCTACAAGACAGCCCGTCCGAAACCCTCGCGTGAGGAAGTTGAGACTCTTGAGGAAGAGATCTGTTGTCAACAACCCCCAGAGAAGGCGTCCCCGGACTGGAATGGTCCCACGAGATTCTACCTACATCACCTCCAATTGCATTATCAGTATGCGCAAGCCTTTTCTTAGTTCGTTATTCCGCTAACATTTCGCAGAGCAATCCTCATCGTCCTATATCGACCGTGTATCACCGACCCGCCGGACGACGTGTCTCTGAATCACCAGACGCAGTGGCAGGAAATCATTCGTCATAAGGCCGACTTTGCAGCCTCCCGTACCAACGAAATCCTAGAAACCCTCGCACAGGAGAGTCTGCTTGAATATGCCCTTCCTATGACGTAAGTCAGCCCCAATGGGGCAGTCTGTTCTACGATGATGATCCTGATCTCTACAGACCACCTCTACTGATTCCGGCCATGCAAATGCACCTTCTGAACTGTCGAACCGGCAACTCTCTATCACGGCGTCTCCGGCTCAACAAGCTTAACGTATGTATGATGGTCATGGAGGAGTTCCAGAAGGTCTACACCGTTGCGTCCATCTACCGTGGAATTTTTGCCAAGGCCATTCAACAAGTCTGCCCCGACCGTCTCGACGAGCAGCCAGACACTTCAGTCTCGATTTCTGCGGCGGCACCTCTTTCTGCACAGTCCGACGAGGTGACCAATGCCACGGCTGCTGGCAATCCGGGACTTGGCAATGATATGGACAATATGGTGGATGCTCTTCTGGACGAATCGTCGGCCCTCAACTTTTGGGAGACGTGGGGTCAGTTGTGGGTTGGATAGAGTCGGTCGAACCAGATTGTAGCGATTCACACGGGTGATAGCGTAACGACCTGTAACGACCTGGACCGTCTTCATTATGGCCGTTTTACCAGGATCCTTGCCAAGATCTAGCTCAATTTTGCTTGGCGTCGCCCAACCCCAAACCCCGAAGGCCAAGGGATGACACGAGCCACTGCATGAGGGGGAATCCCTCAGCGAAGCTCGGGATTTCTCCGATGGATTCACCCTGGGGAAGCGGGTCGGTGGGCCGGCCCATCATTTCAACCCGTTCGTATTGAGTGGGGTGTCTGGTGGGTTAGTGCGTGACAAGCGCAAAGGAAAATTACGCCATACATCTGATCATCAATTGCGAATACGACGAAAATCGTTTCCGTACGGATAGAGGACTTCGACATCTGTCAGAAACGCGGCTGACATGGGATGATAAGCTCGGACTCGCCACCTCGTTTGCAACGGCTCGCTGCATGCTGCTGGTAGCCCCTGTAGCCCCTCCTACGACCTCTTTATTAAGTGGGTTTTCTCAGGATCAGTCCTAGTGAGGAGCAAGAGAGCGACATCTGGATACGTTAGTGGCAGCGTCAGAATGAGCGCCGTCAGCGATTCTGTACACCGGGCGATAGCCACCGTACTGGCGAGCTGGTCATGGCCCTATGCGGTGGGAGTTCTGGTAAGTCTACCTTTCTGCCCGCAGACCATGGACTAAAGGTAGGACTCAGATGATATCATGGCTGTCGTATGCAGTGGTGTATGAGTTGCTGCTCTCTCCACTGGCCAAATACCCTGGCCCCAGACTGTGGGCTTTGTCCTACATCCCCTCCCAGCTCAGTTTGATGCGAGGACATCACCATTTGAAGATGCTTGCTCTTCATGATCGGTACGGTCCGATCGTGCGGACTGGTCCCAACGCCCTGTCGTTCAACACTCCGGAAGGGTTCAAGGACATCTATGGGTTTCGCCCGGGCGTGCCTCAGTTTCCGAAAGACCCCAAGACCTACGGGTCCTCATTGATGCCCACTCGCGACGCCGTTGGGGGGTTTCTGGACAATGAATCCCACAGCCGACAGCGACGGCTTCTGGCGCATGGGTTTTCCGACCGCGCGATACGCGAACAGGAGGCAAGGATTTGCTCGTTCATTGACCTGTTCATTTCGCGGCTGCGAGACCTCGCCCATCAGGGCAAGGACATCGACATCAAGGCGTGGCTGGAGTTCGCCGCATTCGACATCACGGGCGACTTGATGTTTGCCGAGACGTTTGACTGCCTGCAGGATAGCCAACTACATCCCTGGATCGAGTTCATCTTCAACAGTATCATGGGCTCGACGATCCTCAGTGCCATTCGCCATTTCCCGGTGCTCGCGATGCTACAGGAGGCCTGCACTCCGGCGTGGTTCCGCCGGCAGATCATGCAGAACTTTGAACTCAGTGCGGAAAAGGCCGAGCGGCGGATGGCCCTCGGGGCGGACCGAGTGGACTTCATGTCGGCCATGATTAAGAATGGGCTTGAGGACGATAGCCCGCACACGCAGGAGGAGAAGAGAGTGATGCGCATGTCGCGCCATGAGGTTCACGCAAACTCTACCTTGTATGTCGACTTCGCTTGCTGCTGAAGTTGACCATGCAACGCTGACCTAGGTAGTATCATTCTAGCAGGGAGCGAAACGACCGCCACTGCAATGTCTGGGTGCATTTACTATCTCTGTACCAACCGGTCCGCACTGGACCGACTGTGTCAAACAGTGCGCGAGGCGTTCCAGATGGATGCAGACATCACCTCTGCCATTTGCGCCAGTCTTCCCTACGTGGATGCAGTGATTGATGAAGGGCTGCGCATGTACTCGCCCATGGCGGCCCATCTCCCTCGCGTGGTGCCCCGAGGCGGTGCGACCGTCGCTGGTCAATTTCTCCCTGAGAATGTACGCAACTTCCTGCCCTTCTATTTTCTTCTGTGGTGAGCTTAGAGACGAGGCACTCACTCCATCTACTTCAGACGGACGTTCACGTCCCGCACTACGCCTCCTACATGAGTGATGCCAACTTTTTCCGGGCAAAGGAGTTTCTCCCAGAGCGCTGGCTGGGCACTGACCCACAGTTTGAGGGGGATAGGAGAGACACGCTGCAGCCGTTTTCCATGGGAGCCAGAAACTGTCTAGGGAAGAGGTTAGTATTCCGATTGGTGAAGCACGATTGTCGACTGACGGCAAACAGTTTGGCTTATCTGGAAATGCGTCTAACGCTTGCCAAACTGGTGTATCGCTTCGATATAGAGCTGTGTCCAGCGTCCGAGCGGTGGAATGATCAACACACGTATTTCATCTGGCATAAGCCGTCGTTGATGGTGCGGCTGACGGATCGGTTGGCTGTTTAGTTTGCTTAGCGCATGATCATAGTACAGGGATGCCACAAGACAATCACACTTCCGATTGAACGAGAAACGCATAGAATCAACTCTACCACTATGACTATGACTATGCCAATTAACTTCTAGAAGCCAGGGACCACGTATATCACAATCTCGCCTCCTCGCCCCCAACCGCCCACCTCACCACCGGATCCCTTTCGACCAAGGCCAACGCTTCGGGCTCCAAGACCAACCGCACCTCCCAGGGCGCATCCTTGCCCCTCGCCGGCAGGATCCACGCTGCGCTGCGGAACCGGGGATCCGGGACATCGAAATCGCGCACCCGGCCCAGCACACTCCCGAAATCCAGACGATACGTCCCGATACTGCGCAGACTGCTCTGGCCGAATTCGGCGGGTCGCGAGGCCGCGCTCACTGACCAGTCTGGGGAGTTGTAGACCTGCGCGAGATGCTGACGTAGGTAGTCGTTGTCCACTGAGGCGTTGCCGCGGCGGATGAGGAGGGCTAGCTGCGTGAGGTTGGTCAGCACCGTCGTCTCCAACGGTGCGCGCTGGCTCTCTCCCGAGAGAGCTTCCGTCGGGTTCGTCGGATTCGTCGGGTCGAGAAGATCCGGGTAATAGGGGTATGTGCCGTCGACGGTGGCGGCCATGGGGAAGGGGGCGTGGAGAGGGATGGTGTGCACTGCATTGCCGATGTACGTGCGTGGGAGCGGAGGGCGCAGGGCAGCGCGCACGTCGATGGCGGTGCTGAGGCTGGAGTGGTGTTTCTCCGCCGCAGGGCCGAGGAGTCGGGCGCGGGCGCGCATCACACAGAGCCAGGTGAGACTCAGAACGAGGTCGTTGCGCGAGAGGATCCGGTCTTTTGCCTGCGCCCCTCCCTCCGAGGTGGCGGTGGGGAGGTGAGCGCTGCAAAGGGTCTTGAGTTGGGAGATTCGGTGCGGCGAGAAGATGAGCTTGCGGCTGATGGGGTGGTTGGGTACGTCGGGGGGAGCGGCGACGCCCCAGGTTTGCCCGGCGGATTGGCCATCCAGGGTCTGAACAGGGCCGGCGCTGGCGACTTGGAGGATAAGGTCGCGGGTTTGTTTCTCCTGCTCAAGGGTGGTGAGAAGGTTGGTGGTGGTGGTGGTGATGGTGGTGTTGGCGATGTCGACCTCGCGACTGCAGGTAGCTAGGGCTTCGAGGACAAAGCATTGGCCCATTCCGTCGACGGCATTATGGTGTGCGCTGCCGCAGAGGATGATTCCATCCTCGAGAATGTTGGCTTGGAAGCGATACACCGGGCTGGCTGGGGCGGAGCCCATGTCCAGCGGGAGGGGGAGATATTCCTCCGTGAAGATCTCGTCGTAGTTGATAATTTGGCCTCTGCTGCGGACGGGCGAGGCTCTCGCCGGACCAGAGATGTATTTGCGGGGGTGATGCTTGATAACGAGCATTGGATGCTGATCCAGCATGGCTGCAGTGGAGGGTTGGACCTCCCGTACATTCTGTCGGCCAGGGATTGGGGAGGAGGAGGAGGAGGAGAGAACCACATTGCCTGTCAGGAAGGGCAGCTCATTGATGAGTCTCTCTACGGCAGCTTCAAGGACTGGGATGGCCCGCGCAGGATTGTCAAGAATGAAGGTCAAAAAGGCTGTCATGTGCAGTGGGGGAGGGAGATAATCGAAGGGGGTGAGCGTGTAGGGCTCGAAGATAGGAGGGGGGTTCGGTGTCATGATGTCCTTGGGTTTCTGGGCTCTTACAAATGGGCAAGGGAATGGAGATGTCACGGTTTATCCGTTTATCCCTGGGACGAGATTTATATTGTGCCCTAGGTTGCTGTCTGGAGGCAGAGATATAACACACAAACACACACACACACTGTACGGCAAGTACATACATGTACATGTACAGTACGGCAACGCTAACAATACAAGTGCTGACAGCCTCGTATTCTGCATCTGCGCCTATGCAGGGTAGGTCTGGGCCTAGAATTCTGCTAGTACGTCAAGATTCTCCGTCCGATCAGCAATCTTCTGCCCCCACTTACCCCGCTATCTACAGCACCATCAGATTTGTAAGAAACACTTGGGGCAAAAGTTGAGCTTCCACTGTTAGGGCTCGTGGTTAGGGCATCCTACACCCAAGGTGACATTCCATATCTCCAACACAAACGAATGTCAAGCCATCGACAATTAGGCCCTGACCGGAATCAGCTTGACCATCAGAGCCGGTTTGTCCCAAATCGTCCAGATTCGTTGTCCCGAGAACCATGTCTCATTCGCAGGCACGGTCTCGAAGTCAAAGTGCAAGATCAGATTGCACAGAATGAGTAGCATCATATACTGGGCCATTCTATTACCGGGATGTCAGCACGCCTCATGCCCAATGGATCTCTCGCGATGATACACTTACTCTCGACCAACGCAATCCCTAGTCCCCACCGAGAACGGCTTGCACGCATCGCGCTGATCCTGCGCGTACTGCTTCTCGGGCTGGGCAAACCACCGCTCCGGAGCAAACCTCTCCGGCTCATGGAAGTTGGCCGCCGAGCGAAACGCCGCCAAGGGCGTCACATACACACGGGTTCCCTCAGGGACCCAGTCTCCTGAGATGGTGGCACCCGGGGCCGGAACAATACGGGGCAGAATGCCGGGCACGGCGGCGTAGGCACGCAGGGCCTCCTTGATGCACGCATCGAGCAGAGGCAGGTCCTTGAGGGTCTGCATCGAGATCTCCTCGCTCGACCGGTACTTGGCCCGCACCTCGTGCTGGACCTGGCGGAGCATCTCCGGTTGCTGGAGCATGTGGGCCATCCAGCCACTGAGCGCGGTGGAGCTGGTCTCACTGCCCGCCATCATGATGATGGGGGCTGTCGCGCGCAGCTCGCCTTCGGAGATGCCGTCGGCCTCGGTCCGGGCTTCCATGACGAAGTGCACGAGGTCGGGCCGCTTCACACCGGCGGATAGGCGGTGGTCCAGACGCGCATTCAACATCTGGAAGTAGCTCTCGCGCTCAGTCTTGACCAGCCGGGGCAGCGTCAGGTTGAAGAGGATGCGGAGGATAGGGAAGTCAATCAGCGAGGCCAGCAGCGAGGCGCTGCGGATGACACCCAGATGGCTGCGTACCCAGGGATGGTAGGTCGGGTCGTCCAGCAGGTGAAGCGACTCGCCGAACTGGAGGTCGCAGACCACATCGAAGAGGGTGAAATTGAACATGTCCACAATGTCCACCGGCTGCTTCTGCGCCGCCGCGAGCGCCAGCTTCTCCATCATCCGGTTCACGTGGCCCAGGATCAGGGGTTCTTGCTGGGCCAGCGCCCGCTTGGACAATGCCTGCGCGTACAGGCGCCGCATGCGCGCGTGGTCTTCATTGTTGGCCGAGAGGATCGAATGGATCCCGTTCTGGTCTTCCACCGACCGGAAAAAGGTCATATCGCGCGGCATGCCCCCCGGGCGCGCGGGATGGCTGCCGTAGATGTCCTTCCAGGCGCTGGCGCTGGCGTAGCTCAGCTCGTCCGGGGCGACGCGCACCACTGGCCCGTACTTTGCATGCATCTGGTTGATCCACCCCGTCGAGTGGCCCGTCATGACCCCGAACACGATGGGGAGCCGGCTGACAGCCATCAGCCGGGGGCCAGGGTAGCGCCTCAGCGGGTGGAAGAAGACATTGTAGAGCGCGAAGCCGATGTAGTACTATCATGATGATGCCTTCGTTAGATCGTATGTCTGGTCCTGCGGGGATATAGTGAGCCTACTGGAACAAGTGCCAATGCTAGAGCCTTGAGAGCCAAGTAGGCCGACAATTCCACAGAGAGCATGATATCAATTGCGATAAAAAAAAGAGTCGGCGACTGATGAACTGGAAGAGAAACAGCGCAGCGGACGTCAATGCGGAGAGAAAGAAATTGAGCCCACGCAAACAAAAGCTGAGACTGGCGAGGAAGGTTGGGCTCTGAAGAAAGCCTCAACATAACTTATCGCCGGTAGGTTCCCCTCCACTCATCGTCGTCCTTCTGTCTGATTGTGGACGGAGGCTTTTCGTATGCTAGGAGCAGTACAGTCTGCAGTCAGATGCGCTTGCAGCATCCCCAACACACACCAGGGAAGGCTGCCCACGTCACGTAAATTGGTGCTTAGGCACTATCCAGGCTTTCTTTGTGTATCTCTCGTCCTTAGGATGTTTGTAAGACAATACGCCCATGCGCAGGAGGCTGAGGATGGATGGGTGTATTCTGCAACGATCTGGAATCAAGGGTCTTTCTTCTCTAGATGACATTTCCACCAATGGCGAGACCACATGGACTGTGCGTTATTTGCAAAACTCAGAAACGACGATACGTACGAAGCATGTTGAGAGACCAGCGGACTAGTGTAACGGCCAAGATGGCGCTATTTTGCTGGTGAATCTCACAACACGAGGACACTGCTTGGCAAGGATGAGACAATTCCTCCAGGCCTAACGGCTATTTAGGACAAAGCTTTACTTTAATTCCTAGCTTACGACGCTACTGACAGGGGTCAGGATAAGCTTGTTACTTAGTGGAAGTCAAACACGAGGCGAATCTGCAGGTTGGCCCTCCGTCTCCGTTGCCCTAATGCCCCGAAGGGAAACTGGTCTGTCTTATCTTGCCTGAAGACTCATGGCCAGCAGATGTTGCATAGATGCTAAAAATTACCAGACCCGCCCTGCGGCTCTAAACTAGGGGCTTTTATCTCGAACCAATTAACTTGGTGCTTTACATCTCATCGACAGTCTGGTGCGGGCAGCAGATGACGATGTACCCATTCCTTCAGGGTTGAACCGGCCCACCTAACTAATTCGCTGACAGGATGCCATATGCCAGACCTTGAGACTGTAGCCGTTTTCCATGTCGAATAATGGCAGGCTTGGTGTGTTGAGCGCACTAGTCCGCTGTCATCAACCCGATGCATGTTCTGCGGACGAATCCACTTACGGCCTGGTATTGCACTTATCCCACTATGCGTCAGATCAAAGCCCTGATAATGCACTCACATGCTGTGTGACAAGGCCCAGACAACCATGTCGAGAACGGGAGTCTTGATCCATACTTGTCCCTGTATAGTTTTAACCCCCCGTCGCTATTATTGGGATTCAGCTTCACCTAATCGTTCCTGTGGAGAGACCCGATACGGAGTCTTCAATCCTTCCTCGTATCTGCCGTGACGTGTCTAGCATCCAGGAGTGTTCCGGTAGACACTCTACGGGGCTACTTGCCTCAAGCTTTGTGAGGCAACCAGCACGAAGAACGACCTTGCTACTTCATCTGATCGGAGTCGCCGCACCTTTCCATGACCAACATACCCACTATTACTGCCCAACTCTCCGACTTGGCAGCAGGCAATGTCGTGCTATTGACGTTCATTCTGCTTATCACGGCGTCAAGGGCTCGTATCTTCATGCATGCTCAAATCCCGGCGGGGGTGAATGTTTGCCGACGCGGGTGGTACAGATGAGAGGAGCGCGTTCGTCTCGTCCGGTAACATCGTACTACACAGAAAAGGCGTTCTCATGACGAGAGGAGCCTTTGGTATGTATGGCCATCTGAGAGAGTGCCCAGCAGACGACATCCTGACGGAGGCGAATCCAGCGGAGCCCCTTGGTACTCAGCAGCCATAAATTGTACTCAAACTAGCCTCTCATCCGAACAAAATCAGACAGCACGGCCGTGGTAGTCATCCCTTAACGAGACCATCATGGATTCCATGTGGCAAGCCGTCAAGGCCTACTTCGGCGAGAACCCCATCCAGTTACACACCCACTGCTGTGATCTGAAACCCCCCAAAGCTCGCAATGAGAATATCAACTTCGGGGTCGAGATTCCCGAGGATGTGATGGGGCTCTTCTCCGCCATCGGCGACACCAGCCGGCCTCCCTGTACGTGCGACGGCATGGATGCCCTCGTGGCACATATCGACGCCTTCATCCGCGCCGCCCCTGCCCGCCGGCCGGAGGACTATACCTTGCACAGCGGGAAACAGGACCAGTCCTCCGAGGACGTCTGCCGGTTCGCCATGCGGGACGCGCTGCAGTGGTGGACGGTGTGGCACGGCTCGCTGGAGCACCACAAGTGGAAGCATCTGTACCTGGCGCTGTGCACCATCTCGGACGACCTAGTCATCCCCCCGCAGGATCTGGCGGATGGCACCTTCACACTGCTGGGTCACTCGCTGGCCGATATCCTGGCGGGGCTGCGCGCGGAGCACGTCCACCCGGAGGAGATCAAGCTCCTCGAGATGCTCACCTGGCGCCAGTACATCATGCAGTACGTGGAGAAAGTGGATGGGGGCCTCCGGCCCTTGCTCCTGGGCAAGACCACAATGATGACCCAGTTCCGCGTCATGACGGCGGGGGTTCACAACGTCGCCATCATCCTCCTCGCCGCCCGCGGGGTCCGGTCGCGCGGACTCCAGGATGCCGCCGTGGAGATGGCCGCCATCTGCGACTGTCTGTCCATGGACATCGCCAAGGAGGCGCTGGGGATCCTGCAGGGCGAGAAGACCGAAGCCGTGGCCGGGCGGAACCGCGTCCAGCTCAAGCGCGAGCTGCGCTGGTTGTATATCCGGTGCGTCGAGCACCTCGATACCCAGCCCGGGGCGGCCTTCCTCCGGCGATATGCCACGGGAGGCTATATCTTCGTGCCGTTGATGGACCGGTACCGCGAACGGGCGCGCAAGGGAGCCCGCACCCCCATGTCAAGTGATCTGTCCCGGCGGGTCGATGAGTATCGCACCTTGGTGCCGGCCAGGGCGTCGTCGCCGGTGGGTGCGGGTCAAGCGTTGTTGGGAGGGAAGACGGCCAGCGGGGCGCTGAGTGTCTGGGGCATTGGACCCCGGTTGGCGGTTAATCTGCTGGGCTCGTTTGTCTGCTCCTTTGCGGTTCTGTTCGTGCTGTTTGTGCTGTCTAGCGAGAAGGAGAAAGTGCTACATGCTCTCACGCGGTTTCCGTTGGTTGAATGATATGTTACTCCACGGCGTGAGGGTTTGGTCTAGGTAGTCTGATGAGATACATGACAATATACTGATCAACGTTACCATGATAGTGTATAGAGGCCGTCGAAGCAGTCTTGACGGTCAGGTTTACATAGCAGGAATCAAATGTTGGTTACGTGTGTCATCCTGGGCATTGAGATTGCTTGCTCAACAGCTTCCCTCTGCACGCCAACAATCCAGGAGTCAATGGGGGCAGAAGTAGAAGCCCATTGATGCGGTCACGCCAAAGTCGACAGATACAATGCCACCGGAATTAAGCACACCGAGAGCCCAAACAGAGAGATCACTTGCATACGAAAAGGCAGATCCTTGCCTGCACGCCGCCCGGATAGACACATGTTCGCAATCTCCTTCATGATGTGCTTCTGGTGCTTGCCACTGGCAGTCTTGGGGAAGTCCGGACACACTCCGCCGTCTCCAATCCAGAAGACATGCTGGGGGGCCTTGTGCCAGCTCAATTCCACCCGTACCCAGTCTCGTAGTTCCTGATCCTGCGGCTGAACGTGTCCCTGGGTCAACTTGAGAAAGCAGCCCACCACCTCGCCGTACCTAGGATCCGCCACGCCCACCACGCTCGCTTCTGCGATGGCGGGATGCAGCAGGAGACGCTCCTCAATCTCGAGGGGGAACATGTTCTCTCCTCCTGGAAGGAAAGGATACCGGATTAGACGCGATCCCCGGCGTGGTAGGGTCTGTGGGCAGTCTTACCTCGGATAATCACATCCTTCATCCTCCCACTGATATGACAGTATCCCTCCGCGTCGAGATAGCATTGGTCTCCTGTATGCATCCACAACCTCCCGTCCGCGTCGCGTTGCATCGCCTCTTTCGTTTTGGTTTCATTCTCAAAGTACCCCCTCTGGAGCCCGTACCCACTGGTGCATAACTCGCCGCTCTCGCCCCGCGGCACAATGGCTCCCTCCGGGTTGATCACCTTGGCCGACGTATGCGGCAGTACCCTCCCTAGACTCGTCATTGCCTTGTCCCTGGGATCATCCAACGAAGTCATAAACGTCACGGGACTGGTCTCCGTCATCCCGTAGGCGATCAACATCCCCTTGACGCCGAAGCTCTCCTCGAGCCGACTGAGCAGCGTCTCCGAGACCGGCGACCCGGCCGCCAGCCCCGTGCGCACGGTGGTGATCTTGTCGAGCTTCCGGGCCGCGCATGCCTCGAGCTCGGCGACGAACATGGTGGGCACGCCCAGCAGGGCGGTGGCCTTTTCGTGGATGACCGCGTCGATGACGCTGTCGGCGTGGAAATGGTCGGAGGGGAAGACGATCGCGCTGCCGTGGGTGAAGGCGTTGAGAAAGCCGAGAACCAGCCCGAAGGTGTGGAAGAGGGGTGGGGGGCAGCAGACCACGTCGGCGGGGGTCAGGCGCATCCCGTCGCCAACGAGGCGGGCGTTGTTGATGAGGCCGCTGACACAAGTACCACGTATTCACGTATTAGAGATTGTCCCACGGAGTCCTAGGGAGTTTAATCACCTACCGGTGGGTGAGCATGGACAACTTCGGCTCTCCGCTCGTCCCCGAGGTAAATTGATAGCTGAGATTGTCGGACAGCCGCACGATCCGCTCCGCGGCGGGCAGCAGGCCCTCATCCTGTGCTGCCCTCTCGCCCGAGGCCAGGAAACACCCGTAGGCTTGCACCTGTGGTTGGGTATAGGGTCCGTCACTGTCGAAGCATACAATCCCACTCAGCTCCGGCAAGGTGGCTTGCGACGCGGGCGAGAGTAAGGTCTGGAGATGCGGGGCCAGGCTGCGGGGACCGATCTGCGAAGCGAGAAAGAGGAATCGAGTTGCTGAGAGGGAGGACCATGAGCCAAGCGGCTGGAAAACGGAGATTTGAATAGTCAGAATAGTAATCCACTCACCACTTCTCTGCAACGCGCGCAGCACTTCCGCTGGGGTGTAGGCGTTGTTCAAGGGTAGCACAGGACATCCGATCCGCGCCCCGGCCAGAAACACCTGGATGTATTCGTAGCGGTTGCCCGCCAACACCGCGATGCAATCGCCCAGGCGCAGGCCGGCCTGCACCATCGCGGTGGCCAGCACTTGGCTACTGTCCGCCAGCTGACGGAAAGACAATCGCTTGTCTTGCCACGGGGTGACCAGCGCCGTGCGGTCGCCATACTGTGTGGCCTGTTCCTCGATCAGCTGGCCCAGAGTCTGGGACCACAGGGCGGGCTCCTCTGCTCCGTGGACGATGGACAACTTCTCCATGATAGAGACGAGAGAATGTGGTGGGGTGGGGTTTGGTCTTGGGGAGAAGCCAGAGAAATTGTTTGGAGAAGGGCAGAGTCGAAAAAAGTCACAGTCGAGTGCTTTGGTGGGGGGGATCAGGGTGTCTCACCCTCAAAGACGGCAGGGATTCCCATGCATTATGCATTAACGTGGCAGTCTGCAGATATGTGTTTGTTTGGGTGGCTGAGTTACGAGTGAGTGACTTTGCTGATAACTGATAAGTAACTTAGTTAACAGAAAGCAAGAGAGAAAAAGAGAGAGAAATAGAGAGAAAGAGAGAGCAGGGAATTAGGGCCGGTAATACATGTGACCATAGTACCGTAAGTAACTGTATTTTTATTCTACCCCGCAGACTCCGTATTATGGCCCCCCCCCGGGCCCCAGATTGACACTTACCGCCTTTGGCGGTCTGCAGTACCACAATACTGTACTATAGTGTACAATCATGTACTGTACTATTCTGTACTGTACTGTTTGAAGTCACCGATCCTATTTACTCGGCTGCCTTTAAGTCACCATTCTCACCATTCTCACCATTCACACCACTCACTCACTGAGAAGGGCAAAAAAAAAAAAAAAAAAAAAAA